AATCCAACCAGTGTCTTAAACTTCAAAAGAGCTAATTTTAACAAACTCAGAGAGAACTTAGGAAAGATTTCATGGATAAAAATCCTAAAGGGGAAAACAACCCAAGAAGCGTAGGAAACTCTGAAAAATGTGATCATAAAAGCCCAAACCAGCACAATACCACTGAAAAAGAGAAACAAGCCATTCAAGAAGAAATCAGCGTGGCTGCACAAAGATCTCTCTGTCAAATTGAAAGGCAAAAAGGACAAGTACTAAAAATGGAAAGAGGGGTACAAAACTAAGGCTGATTATCAGCAAACAGCCAGAACATGCAAAGATGAAGTCAGGAAAGCAAAGGCTCAGAACAAAGACTTGCAACAGAAATCAAGGATAATAAAAAAAATTTCTTCCAACATATTGTTGTTGTTGTTAGTTGTGAAGTCGTGTCCGACCCATTGCGACCCCATGGACAACGTTCCTCCAGGCCTTCCTGTCCTCTACCATCTTCTGGAGTCCATTTAAGCTCACGCCTACTGTTTCAGTGACTCCATCCAGCCATCTCTCCAACATATTAACAACAAGAAAAAAGTTAAGGAAACTGTAGGTCCATTAAAGAGAGAGGATGGCAAGGAAATAACAGGCAACAAGGAGAAAGCAGAGCTGCTTAACTCATTCTTTGCATCAGTCTTCACACAAAAAGAAACTACAGCCCAACATACCCAAAAAACCACTGCAAAAGACAAACTAGAAACAAAAAACAAGCAGAAAATGGTAAGAGAGCACTTATCCAACCTTGATGAATATAAATCACCAGGACCCGACAGACTACATCCCAGAGTTCTGAAGGAGTTGGCAAATGTTACCTCAGAAACACTGCACCATATCTTTCAAAAATCCTGGAGCACCTGAGGATTGGAAAAGGGCTGATGTGGTTCCCATCTTCAAGAAAGGGAAAAAAAAGGACCCAGGAAACTACAGATATCAGTTTAACATCAATACCTGGGAAGATCCTAGAAAAGATAATTAAAAAAACCAGATCTGTGAACAACTAGAAGCAAACAAAGTTATAACTAGTAACCAGCACGGGTTTGTTAAAAACAGATCATACCAAACCAATCTTATTTCATTCTTCAATAAAGCGACTAAACTAGTAGACCAGCGAAATGCCGTGAGTGACTAAACTAGAAGACCAATGAAATGCTGTGGACGTATTATTCTTAGATTTCAGTAAGGCATTTGATAAAGTAGACCACAACCTACTCCTTGGTAAGCTAGAAAAAGGTGAAATAGACAACATCACCACCAGATGGATCTGTAGCTGGCTGGCAAACCGTACTCACTGAGTAGTCCTCAATGGCACTACTATACATTCACATGGAGAAAAGTAAGCAGTGGGGTACCACAAGGTTCCGTCTTAGGCCCAGTACTCTTCAATATTTTCATAAATGACTCAGACGAGGGAATTGAAGGGGAACTCATCAAATTTGCAGATGGCATCAAACTGGCAGGAGTAGCCAACACCCCAGAAGACAAACTCAGGATCCAAAAAGATCTTGACAAACTTGAACAATGGGCCCTGTCCAACAAAATGAGTTTCAATGTGTAGAAAAACAAAGTTTTACATTTAAGCAGGAAAAATCAAAGGTACAAGTACAGATTAGGCAAGACCTGGCTCAAAAATAGCAACTGTGAGAGGGACCTTGGAATCCGAGTGGACGATCATTTGACTATGAGCCAGCAGTGTGCAGCAGCAGCCAAAAAAGCTAATACAATCCTGGGTTATATAAACAGGCATAGGATCAAGCTCACACGAAGTGTTAGTACCGCTTTATAAAACCCTAGTAAGACCACACCTGGAATACTGCAGCCAGTTTTGGTCACTATATCACAAAAAAGATGTTGAGAGTTTGGAAAAAAATCAGAGAAGAGCAACTAAGATGATCCAAGGCTTGGAGGCTAAAACATACAAAGAAGGGCTACAGGACTTGGGTTTGGCTAGTCCAGGGGTAGGCAACCTTGGCTCTTTTATGACTCGTGGACTTCAACTCCCAGAATTCCTGAGCCAGCACAGCTGGCTCAGGAATTCTGGGAGTTGAAGTCCACGAGTCATAAAAGAGCCAAGGTTGCCTACCCCTGGGCTAGTCTAAAGAAAAGAAAAATAGGGGAGACATGATAGCAGTGTTCCAGTATTTGAGGGGCTGCTACAAAGAAGAGGGGGTCACATTATTCTCCAAAGCACCAGAGGGCAGGACAAGAAACAATGGTTGGAAACTGACCAAAGAGAGAAGCAACCTGGAATTAAGGAGAAATTTCCTGACAGTGAGGACAATTAACCAGTGCCTCCAGAAATCGTGGGTGCTCCATCACTGGAGATTTTTAAGAAGAGGCTAGACAGTCACTTGTCTGAGATGGTATAGGACAGGTTCTCCTGCTTGAACAGGGCTGGACTAGAAGACCTCCAAGGTCCCTTCCAGGTCTATTCTATTCGAGGCAGAAGAAAAATAAATAAGTAAATAAATAGGTCTCCAGAGGTCCTGAGAGGAAACGTAGCATAAGCAATACATAAGATATTAAAGAAAGATGAATCCAATTCTGTGCAAGCTCATGGCACGAATTGTCAGGGACTGCTTACTTCCGGGGAGTAGTTTATCCCTGTAAACTGTAAAAAGCCACGGATATTTCCTCCGGCCCTCGCTTTCTATCCCAGCTTCTTCCTATGGGTATGAAAGGAGAGAGAACGTGCCGATGGACGAGACTGGTCTGATGCCCCATGCTTAAGCCATAATGTATTTTGGTGCAAGGGTTTACATGAACCAAACCGCCGCGACTGCAATCAATAGCTTATTGCTCGGGTTTGCGAGATACATCAATTGTGGCTGATTCCGCTGGTGTTGCATTCAAGCCCGGGCCAGCACCGTGTGCACCGGCTTCGTAAGTCGGGCAGCGTTTGCACCCGGTTTCGCACTCCATTTCCTCCGCCTAAAGTTAAAACAAAGCGGAAGGAAAGAGATGGGGCAGGTTCGGTTCGGTTCGGCTCGCCCTCCTCCTTCCATGGGGCTCCCCGCACCGCTTCCCTTTTCCCGCCTAAACGCGCTCGCTCCCTGCCTCCCTCCTCCGCTCGCCCCAAGCCGCTGCAGGCGCCAACATTTCCTCCCGGCGGGCCCCGCTGCCCTCCGCTTCGCTCCTCCCCGCCCGGGCACCGCAGCAGCCTGCGCCTCCCCCCCCCCCGCCTCGGCTCCTCTCGGCGTCACCCTCCTGCCTGGAAGATGGCGCTGGGCGGCCAGGTTGGTGTGCTTGGGAACGGGGCGGTGGGCGTTGGGCGGATAGGCCGGGAGAAGAGGCAGGGCGGGACGAGGCGAAAAGGCGGCCGGAGCCGGGGAACGGGGCGTTAGGAGGGAAGCGCATCCTCCTGGGCAGGCAGTGCCTCGGGGGTGGGGGGCTGTGTAGCGGCTGTGTTTGGAGGGGAGGCAAGAAGTGGCTCTCCGTCCTCCCCGCCATCTCTTCCCCCCCCCGCCTCTCCCCCAATTGAGGCGTTGCAAAGAGGAGGGTTGCAAGCAGCGGAAGGCCAGTCCTTTGGGACGGTGGGCGGGTGGGTGGGGATCTCCCCTTTCCCGTTTTTGAGAGGTGGCAAACTAGGGGGTGGTCTCCTGAGAAGGTGGTCTTTAGAAAAGTGATGGCTCGTTGGAAAGTGATGGCTTGGGCAGCGGTCCCAGAGGTAGAGGATATCTGAACTAGTGGCAGAGGAAAGTGGACCTTACAGAGAGCTTCAGTCGACACAAACCCCAAAACCTGGGTGCAAACCCCTAGAACGGTTTCTTCGAGCCCCCCAGGGAAAGCTTTGCTGTGCATCTTGTAGAGCAGGTGGAAAATTTTGTTGTTGATGCTAGGAGTGACAGAGGCAACGTGTGACTGTAGATGGCATGTGCGGTGGTAGAGACCTACTTAAGATTTTGAAGTGTAAGTAGTAGCCGAGGTTCAGCTGCAAGAGAAATTACTTTATCTTAATTATCTAGGCAAAACTCTATTTCTTAAATAATCCCTTTTAATACGTGCAATCTCAAGAACCTATGACTGTATTCAGAGCATCCAGTGGTAATGTGTTGTTGTTTTCTTCCCCAGAATGCTGAAATAAATTAAGAACTCTTTCTAAAAAAACATTTCCCATTCTTTAGCCCTATGAACAGACAGCATGTGTTCTTCATTTGCTATGCTGAAGATTCAGGCAGAACACAATCCACAGGAAAAATATCTATTGAATTTGTAGACAAATTTAGACATTTTTTTTCAAGAATTTGGATGCTCAGATAAATGGGGTGGAAAGTAAATCAACCTCTGCTAGTTTATTATCGGATGACTAGCACAAATATGCGCCTACATTTCAACAACCCAAGTTGGAGTTGCACAACATGTATAAATGAGAGATGATTTCTTAGTGCTTAGTATAGTTTTCAGATTCTTCCTTGCAGTTGACCACATGGCCAAAAATGTAGTTGATTGGTTTGTGTTACCCGGGGTATTCATCTGATCTGAGTTTGGGGAAAAAGGCATAGCAGTTAATAATTATTCTTCCATTGCCCATAGATCATCTGGTTATTTTACCTTAGTGGGAATAAAAGTTATTTTTTTTCCTTTAAAAGTTGGGTCTGATGGCTTCCTATGACCTCTGGAAGGAAGTTTTAATAATATTACATTGTCTAATATAATTAGACAATTTTTTTGAAAGAGAGACTGGATGGTTGATACTATAGGACCAAGGTGCAAAAGCTCTTTTTGCTAAATAAATAAGGAAATAGGAATTTTGTATGAATAATGGGGAAATTTTGCGACTCAATCCATAAGATGGAGAAGTTGTAAAAGCCGAAGGTGAGGTGTCAAATGAAATGTTCATGAACGTGTTACCTGGTCTCTGGTATAGATTTGTGATGGGAGATGAAATCCATTTTACCTGGGATTTGAGTTTTGCTAAAAGAGAGACCATATTGAACTGTGTCTTGAGACAGCATAATTTCCTACATACTTTTAGAAGAGTTCCTATTACTCATACACTGTATAAATACTTAGAGATAAAAAATTTCCTGAACATTTTGAAGCAATAAAAGGAAATCTAGTTTTCTACTGAAAAAAATGAAAATGTACAGTGGATATAAAAAATCTATACACCCCTGTTAAAATACCAGGTTTTTGAGATGTAAAAAAATTAGACAGCGATAAATCACGTCAGATTTTTTTTCACTTTTAATATAACATAAGCTGTAAAATTCAAATTGCAAAAGAAACTGAAATCTTTTAGGGGGATATAACAATAAAAACGTACAATAGTATGGTTGGACACCCTCTTAAAAATAGGGATATGGCTTTGTTCAAAATTAATCAATCACATTAAAACTGATGTTAAATAGCAGTCAGTACACACTTGCCATCAGTTAAAGTGATTAATTAAGCCCATATAAACTTCAACAATTCTTGTAGGATTTTTCTGACATGGTCTGCAAAGAGCTTACAAAGCATCAAAGGGATCTCGTTGGAAGGTGTCAGTCAGGAGAAGGGTACAAATAAATTTCCAAGTCATTGGATATACTATGGAACACAGTGAAGACAGTCATCAACAAGTGGAGAAAATATGGCACCATAGTGACATCTGGACTGGACTTTCCAAAATTGATGAAGAAACAAAAAGCAAACTGGTCTAAGAGGCTGCAAAGGCCTACAGCAACATTAAAAGAGCTGCAGGAATTTCTGACAAGTGCCGTCTGTAGTACTTGTGGCAACAATCTCCCATATTCTTCATCTATCTAGGGGTAGGTGGCAAGCCTTTCTTACAAACAAAAACATCCAAGCTCAGTTATATTTTGCAAAAACCTTATCAAGTCTGATGAAAGCATGTGGAAAAATATGTTATGGTCTGATGGGACCAAGATTGAATTGTTTGGCCATAATTCCAAAAAATATGTTTGGTGCAAAAACAACATTGTGCTTCACCAATAGTACACCAGACTCAACAGTGGAGCATGATAGTGGCAGCATTATGCTTTGAGGCTGCTTTTCTTCATCAGGAACTGGGGCTTTAGTCAAGGTGGAAGGAATTATGAACAGATCCAAATACCAATCAGTTTTGGCATAAAACCTGCTAAAATGCTGAAAAAGAAGAGGAATTTCACCTTTCAACCTAAGAAAGATCCAAAGCGTACCTCCAAATCAGCAAAAGAATGGCTTCAGCAGAAAATTAAAGCTTTCGAATGGTCCAGCCAAAATCCAGATCTGAATCCAATTGAAAATCTGTGGGGTGACCTGAAGAAGGCTGATCGCAGGAGATGCCCTGGCAATGGGATAGATTTGAAGTGCTTTTGAAAGGAAGAGTGAGCAAAGATTCCCAGGGCAAGATGCGCCATGCTGATAGGCTCCTACTCCAAAAAACTGAATGCTATCATAAAACCAAAAGGCGTTTCAACAAAATTTTAAAGAGTGTGCACACTTAATGCAACCATGTTATTGTACATTTTTATTGTTATTTTACCTTAAAATTTTCAGTTTGATTTGGATGCTTGGCAACTGGCATGTATTTATGATGGTTGCATTGTCCCGGGATCATGTGAGCATCTTTTGCGACCTTCCCAGTGGGGAAGCAGATTCTCTTTAACTGGCACTACACTAACTTCACAACTGCAATGAAGGTCTTTGGTCAGGAGCAGCTTAGTAAACATAACTTAATTGTAACTATATTGAAACAATTACAATTAATTAGTTTTGCCTTAACGCCTTGATGTGCTTAATTATCAATTTTTATGTTAATTATCAGTATTTACATAAATACTGCATTAGTAATCTTTTGAGATGAGTAAATGTATTTTCACTGAATGGACATAACTGTTCTAACTATTCATAGTATTATCCTGTGCATCAGGAATAGAAATGAATCAAAGCTAGGATAATGTTTGGGAAAATGCATCTTATATTTTTAATATTGTCATAGAACAGGAAATTAAGGGAAAAATAAATTAAAATTGGAACCTGGCATCCATGAAGGTGAATGGCACAGATCAAGCTTAACCCTGAAAATGTTGATACTCATTACTAGCTTAGCCTAAGTGCTTGATCTATGCCAATTCCCTTCATGGATGTCTAAGTGGGAAAAAACATGTATTTTAGATTATTAAGGAGATTTAAATGCTAAATACGGTATTTTTTTGCCATTGGACAATATTGGTATGTTTCTTTTTTTTGCCAAGGTGTTTTATCTGTAAGCCGCCCTGAGTCCTCCGGGAGAAGGGCGGGGTATAAATTTAATAAAATCTAAATCTAAATCTAATAAATTAATGACATACAGATTTGCATGAACATTCAGGGAAAATATATATGTAGTTTTAATATCTGACATTTTATTCTTCCCAACAGAGTTTAGCAGAATTAGAAGTTCTTTGTAAACAGCTATATGAGGGCACAGATTTAGCACAAAGAATACAAGCAGAAAAAGTTCTTTTGGAACTTATTAACAGTCCTGAATGTCTCAGTCAGTGCCAACTTTTACTGGAACAAGGAACGGTAAGTACTTTAAACTTTATTATCGATGTACATATCTGTTACACATTTTTGCTCAAATCTTCTTCCAGGTACCAAGACTGTCTACGTATTATCAAGGTACATTTGACTATCAGATTTTTCTTTGGCTGTACATTTGTTATATTTTATAATAGTAATAGTATAACTGGTTAGTGATCATAGACAAAGAACTCCTAAGCTTTTGCAACATTGGACCAAAGGAGAAAACAAAACAAAGACACATACCCTCAAGTGAGATTATATTATTATCCAGAGTAGATTGCAGCACCTGGTATATCTTGACAAAAGTTAAGCAAGGTCAGACTTGGTTGGTGTTTGGATGGTAGATACCAAGAAAGCCCAAAGCTGTAGACTAGGCTGGAAAATTGAGAAAATATCTTGGGAGAAGGCAGTTGTACACTATTTCAGTATTGTTTTCAAAAAGGTTACATGAATATGTCCAAGTTCACGGATGTGACCTATGCATATAGTCCTCAACTAACAACTGTAATCGAGCCCAGAAATATGGTTGTAAGTCGTGAGTTGTAAATTCTGTAGTTGGTCACTATGTGACTATGCCTGTTTTTACAGTCCTTTGTGCCGTGGTTGTTAAGTGAATGCCATGGTCATTAAACAAAACCATTTTATCCAATGGGAAATTTTTTTGCCAAAAACTGGAAGTAAATGGTGGATACTGGCAAAAAAAGCTGAAAGTACATGATTGCAGGATGTTGCAAATGGCCATAAATGCGAGCTGGTTATCAAATGCTCACAATGTGATCCTGTGATCGTAGTGGAGATGCGGTTGTTAAAATTCAGGATGTGAATGGGGGGGGGGTCTGTGGTAACTTTGGTCGCTAAGCAACCATTCATTAAGGGAGGACTACCTGCATATAATTTGGGAGGAGATAATCTGTTGATATTCTGGTGGATACTATATTGACCATGTGGTAGATAAGGAACTTTAAAGTAGTCCTCAGTTACAACTGTAATTGATCCATGCAATTACAGTAATTAAGTCTTGACAGGTCACGTGACCAGACCCAATTTTATGACCATTTTTGCGGCGGTTGTTAAACAAACCCATTTATTGCTATAGAGCAGCAGTCCTCAATCTTTCCAGTTCCACAGACCAGAAACAGCAGCAGGCAGTGGGGGGAGTGGGGGAGTGATTTTGCAGGTCCAACCTAATCCCGCACATGAGCAAATGGAGCTATGTGTGCTCACCCGCTGCTTGTGTGGCCTGGTTTCCAATAGGCCATGGACCTGAGGATCCCTGCTACAGAATGGTTTTGCAGCCTCTTGGAGCATGATCTGTTTATAAGTACAGCACTGTTTGTCTTGTATGTGTCACAGACTGTCTTAAAAAAAATTATTTTGTAAGTGTCCTTTTATGAAATGACAACAAATAAATGACACATTCTCACATCCGTGGGAAGTTGTAACTACATAAAGAAGCTTGTTGATAATTAAGGAAAGCTAAATGTTGTTTAGAATTTAGAATACTTGTATCTCTTCCATCAAATTCTTTTTTGGATTAAGTTACAGTCTTAAAGCATTCCATATGCTACAGAAAGTTTCAATGACTGCTTGAATATTTGACTTAAAAAAAGATTTAGTATTAAAAATCCTGAGCTTAGAAGGTATTTTATTTATGTGTTTGATGGACTACAAAGCTTATTCCCTTTTAGTTTGGGATTAGTTATCAAAGGCAGATTGCCAGCTGGAAATTCCTTGATGGAAACCTGAGGACATTAAAAGAAATAGCAGATATCCATTTCATTTGTTAAAACCCTGTTGGTACCAGTGAAGCTATAAGAAATGTGCAGATGTGTATGGATGCCTGAAAAACCATAAAGACATGAGCTTATCTATAATGTAGATAAAGCTAGAACATGTTGGAAATAATGATACTAGTTATATGTAATTATATACCCATATAATAACTATATTCATATAACAATGACTTAATTGTGTATTGTATTGCTACATGGTGTCTGTGTGGCAATGTAAAGCAGAGTCTATTACAGTATTCTGAAAAATAGTTATTGGTGCCTGCAATCATTTTATTTACAAAAACCAATTATAAAAATAAGAAAGGCTCTTTTATAAGTAAAATGATAAATAAATGGTAAGTTACTAAAATGATAAAATAATAAATATTATTTTATGACCATAATTTAGCCCAAACTTGTCATTGCTAAGCAAGGCAGTAGTTAAGTCAGTTTTGCCCCATTGTAAAAACTGGTCATAAGTCACTTTTTTCAGTGCCGTTATAACTTTGAACAGTCACTAAACAAATGGTTGTAAGTCAAGGACTATCTAAGTAAATCATAAAAATAGTTCTTTTAATACTATTTATATAGTGTTGGGTTCTTTGCTTATTATAATGAATCATGAATTATGGTTTAGAACAGAGTTCCCCAACCTTTCTGGGCTTTGCGGACCAGTGGGGAGAGGGGATGGTTCCACGCAAGCGGCCAGCAAGTCCACGCACAGTTCCAATTGTGTGAGTGGTGTGCATGTGTGCCTGCCGCACACATGCACATGCTCGCCCGCTGCTTGCACAAGTGGGGATGCGCATGCTCGCTTATCCACCGTTTCCACGGCCCAGTTGCAAACACCTCATGGCCCACTAGTGGACCGCAGCCCAGAGATTGGGGACCTCTGTGTCAGAATAGATATGGTTCACTAAATAGCAAAATGTTAGGAAAAGAATTTCTTGTTGCAAGATTATCTGTTTGCTTTAAAAATCTTTAGTATTATGCAATGTTACTATTACCATTTCAATTGTGTATATTTTTGTCTAGACATCCTATGCGCAATTGTTAGCAGCAACATGTCTCTCAAAACTTGTATGCAAAACCACACCTTTACCTATTCAACAAAGAATGGACATCAGTAAGCATTTTTTATTCTTTTCAATAGTAAAATTGTGTTTATAATCTAAAATGTAATTATTAGCAACTTAAACATATAACTTTTAAAAATTTATCATGATAGTTTCATAATTGAAGAGTGAATATTTCCTATAATCTGGGATTTCTCATCTTTAGGCAATAGAAGAGGCATTATATGTGTTCAATTGTTTGTTTTATATTTCATATACAGTATGGCCAAAATTATGGAAACCTTTTGGGAAAAGTAGACAGTAGAAATGCCATCTTTGGTTAAGTTTCCACCAATTTTTCTTCTAATTTCTTTATAACTGTAGCCTTGTTCACTTAATAATACTATTTTACATCACTTTCTGGGCAACTAGTCAACTCTTTGCACCATTACTTTAATTTTATTACATTTTACAAGCTCATTAAATGAAAGAACACAAAAAAACCCAATCAACTTGATAGCGATCACAACGCACTGACAAATGTCCTCCTCTCAGCTTCAATACATGACATCAATAACTGAATCCTACTGTGATCTGATTGGCTCATTGGCAAAACAAGATGACACCTGATTGACTCTCTAAACACCCATGCTCATTGGCTACAATCAGATGAAGGAAAGCTACCTGATATCAACCTAAGCAAGTTGTGCTTCCTTTTTCTGGTTATTTGGCTATAACTTTTCATAGAATACAGTACAGATAATTGAACAAACTTTGTTACATTACATTCTTGATTAAATTATCTTTCCATTGATATATAATTTTATGGTGGTATTCCCCCCCAAAAGTGGTGTTATTAATCATCAAACCTTAAAAATACACTTTTCCCAAAAGGTTTCCACAATTTTGGCCACCACTGTAAATAAGAAAATGTAAATACCTGAGCAGGAGCTGAACCACATTTGTACAAGCATCTGGTATATCTTTGCAGTCAAATAGAATAGTTTGGTGACAGTAATGTTTAGTTCTTAAACTGAAAATAGTGGTAGGTATCATACTTACCTGCTTTGTAGTGTGTTACTCTGATCTTAAATACAATGTTATTTATTCATGTCAAAGATTTATAAATGATCCTAAACTTAAAATTAGAAAAAAAACAATGAAAATAAAAGTTGTTTCGACTGGTTCTTATAACATATGTATCTGTTGTTAGAGCCAGAGAAATAATATACAGATTTCTGTGATTTTATAATTAATGTGGTAGATGTAGGTCCATGCTTGAGAACTTCATGCATATTTTGAGAATAGGCTGCCTTGCACATTTATAGAAAGAAATTTAAACATATTGGATATGTTTACTTTTCTCACAAATCATAATGCGGTTTATTGGGTTTGGCTACTTTTTTTTGTCAAAGCGGTTAAACCAGGCATGTCAAACTCTGGGATTTTTTCCCCATTGCCGGCAATGGGGTGGGCGCGATTTCGGCATGATGTATCTGGCCTGCGGGCCGGCAGTTTGCCATCCCCGAATTAAACTATTATATAGTTCATAATTTATATGGGGAACCCATGCAAATTATGGCTTAGTCAGGAAACAATAGTTAAGCAAACTCTTAGCACAATGCAGTGTATGAATTCTGTCATTGTGGTAGCCTGCCAATTAATAACAAAAAAGAATTTGGGTTAGTTTGAGCTATTTTCGTGAAATCAGGTACATAATATGCCCTATAACATTTTGACTCAAGTGATTCTTTCTCATGCAGTTTAGTTTGTTTGTAGCTTTGTCTTCCATTTCTATGTGCCTGATATAGAGTATAATTTTTCTTCTCTTCTTTAGACACTAATAATAAGTTTGTTGTTCACAGACCGAATGTGAATACTTCTCACTATAAAATTTAGCTCTGGAACATGGAAAGGAAACATTTCACTTTAATTCTAAGGCATAGTGGTACAATTCTGCATTCTATCTGAATGAATTCTGTAATTGCTTTTGGTTAATCACATACTTAAATTAACAGTACAATTAGCATAGTTGCATCAAAAATAACTAGTGTCTTATATTAATAATAGTATAAAAGAACTTTGCAACCATTTTAGTTATATCTGGGCTCATATCTGCAAGTAGGTAAGTTATATAAAATAAATGCTGCATATACTTGTGGATAAGCTGAGAATTTTACAAGCCAATATGTACCTAAAATTTTGCATTCAGCTTAATCCTCAAATGGGCTAATCTGTGATACATTTATTTAAATATCTATATTTCCCATATATACTCATATGTAAGCCCATCCGCAAATTAGCAAACCTTCAAATTCGTAGCCAAAATATCATAAAAAATGCAGGTTGACTTATTCATGGATAGAGCATTTTTCATGGTACAGGTAGTCCTTGACTTACAACAGTTCACTTAGTGACAGTTCAAAGTTACAACGGCACTGAAAAAAGTAATTTATGACCATTTTTTACACTTAATAACCAATCCAGCATCCCCATGGTCACATACTTAAATTCAGACACTTGGCAACTGATTCCTATTTATGACGGTTGCAGTATCCTTGGTCATGTGATCATCTTTTGTAACTTTCTGACAAGCAAAGTCAATGGGGAAACCAGATTCACTTAGCAACCACATTACTAACTTAAAAATGTGGTGATTCACTTAACAACAGTGTCAAAGGTCATAAAATAGGGCAAAAACTCACTTAACAAATGTCTCCCTTAGCAACAGAAAGTTTGGGCTCAATTGTGGTCATATGTTGAGGATTAGTTTGGTAAAGGTTTGAGAGTTGGGTTATCTGCAGTTAGACTAATTGTGCGTATGTACAATACTTTCTTCTTAAGAATTTAAAAGTAGTTGATTTTACAAGTTCTTTCATTATTTTCTATCTTTATCATAATTTCAGTTAGAAGAGTGTGTTATATTTAACCCAAAATAATTGCTTTTTTATCTTGGCACAGGAAACTATATACTAAATTATATTGCATCTCGACCAAAATTGGCCCTTTTTGTGATTCAGGCTCTTGTTCAAGTAATTGCAAAGATCACAAAATTAGGATGGTTTGAGGTTCAGAAAGACGAGTTGATTTTTAGAGACATTATTGCTGATGTTAAAAAGTTTTTACAGGTAAGCAAGAGAAAATGTTTGTTCATCCTTCTTTCATTAACAGTAGATGTTACATTCCTTCCCTTTGAAGTGATAGCATGTTTTTGTGCCTGACATTTGGAATAACATTCTCTGCAGAGATTTATAAGGCTCTTAACCTAACTTGTTTAATTCAGGGGTCCCCAACCTATGGCTCTTGGCCAGCGGGCCACGGAAATGGCTGGCCAGTGCAAGCACACATGGGTGTGCATCTCCCCCACTCGCGCTAGTACCCACAGCCCCGTTTGCGCATGTGCATGGGTGCAAACGGGGACGCTAGTGCGGGGTGGGTGTCCATGGCCTGTCGGTGCATGCACGAACAGGGCTGATAGCCCGGATGGGTTGCGCGGCCCATTTGCACATGCCGCATGTGCGAATGGCGCTGTTAGTGCCGCGCCAGTGTGCGTGGCCCTGTGCGCACGCACGCACACCAATTTTGAAGCTGCTCTCCTTCCCTCTGGTCTGCGAGCCCAGAAAGGTTGCAGACCTCTGGTTTAATTGACTCTTGAGGATATTTTCCATCAAGCTCGGCTCTTCCACCAAGCCCTGGGATAGGGGTTATGGCAGGGCCTCTTTTTGGAATAGAGCAGTTGAAGATTGCTTTTATTGTTTTAACCGGATGTCTATTTTTGATGGTTATGTAGTTTTTATTGTTTTTAATATTATGCACTGCGCAGTAGTATTATGGTGGTTTTAGGAAGTTGACAAATAAAATGACCAAGGGAATATTTGCCCATTATGATATAGGCCTGACCTGCTACTTTCTAATGTTGATTTATTATTCTGATTTTGGGGGAAATGATAAAATTTAAAGATATAAATGTGATTTTAACTATAGTATAGACTGAAAATTTGGGTTTTATTGATATGTGAAGAATTATGGTTTTATAATGTATGGGGTATAATAATTATTCCATTATAATGGAAAAATTGTGCTGGCCTTAATTTACAGTATAATAAAAGAAAATCATTTCATTTGGTCAAATTATAATCCCATATTTAAAAATAAAAAAAAATGTATAATGCAGTGGTACTTTGGTACTCGTTGGTAATTCATTCTGGAAGACGCGACGAATACTAATACTGACGAGTACCGAGAAAACCATGTGGCTTACTACGTGAACCACTATCTCAGCCAGGAGAAATAACAAGTCACGCAGCTGACATCAGCAAGTTCTTTATTGTGTGTTGACTACTGGGAGAAAGACGATTGCAGGGACAAGATTTCTGCTTCAAAATGCATTGAATACCAAATTCAATGAGGTTTGATGCAGTCGAGTGCCGAGGTATGACTGCATGTAAAGAAATGCACCTATTTCTGTTCTGTGTGTTTGTACTGAGAAGTGAAAATGAATTATGTGGTTGATAACATGAATGCTTATTTCTCAAAGCCACCTAAAGCCTTCATTCAAAGTCTGTTTCTGTTATAGGGGACCGTGGATCACTGCATAATAGGAGTAATGATTCTTTCAGAACTAACTCAGGAAATGAATTTTGTAAGTATACTTCTTTCCTTCATATCAGTTTATATCGCTACCAGATTATTGTCATAGTGCTTCGGAGGAAGGATTAATGAAAGGGAAAACTACACTATAAATAGGATAAAAATCCCAAAGAGAACCTTTCTGTCAAATGAAGCTTAGAAATGGATTGTTTCAAAACTCGCTGAGTGAATAAAATAGGATCAATTCTACTGATATTATAACTAGTTATAATAATTTGAAAACAGGAACAGAGCTTGTGCTATCAGCAGGATCTTTGCACATTTTATAAAACCAAATAAATATCTCATGTGTTCAGAGTTGTCACTCTATGTGCCCTGATATTTCTTTTCTTTTTTTTTTTAACCTAGGCTCCAGAAATATCAAAAGGGGCAGTCTTATTGACAGGCCTATTACTATGCTCTTCATTTTTAATGTTCCATAATAATATGATTATTGAAATTTGTTATAAGTGGCCACTCCAGTGGGCTCAGGATGGCTGCTTTTGGGCTTGGCCTGACAGTAGTTAAACCAGGTTGCCTTTCCTGTTGCTTGTTCTGCTGCTTTTAGATAACCTGCTTAAAACTTTCATTCAACATGAAATATTAACACTACTTTTATTCATAATAATGCATTTTATGAGTATATAGTAAGCACCTGTAAAATCTGTTTTAAGTTATATAATAGTCAAATGGAGAGTTTTCTTTCTTTGTTTTAGATTGATTATTCAAGACCTTCATCAAAGCATCGTAGAATTGCTATCTCTTTCCGTGACACCACTCTAAAAGAAATTTTGATGCTGGCATGCTCGCTGCTGAAAGAGGTGGGCCCAAATACCAATCACATTATCGTGAGATTATTTCTTTACCATCAGAACCTAATTTGTTGATATTTTATTCCTAGAGTCGCTTGTGGACATATTTTTTAGCCGGAAACATATGCAGCTAGATTAATATGCAATGTATGGTGAGAAAGGGATAAATGAATGTTTGAGATGGTATTTATTTTTATTTATCAAATTTAAATACCGCTCATCTTACTTTCAGAGTGACTTTTGGTGTTTTACAGTTAAAATAATAAAAAAACATAAAATACAACACATCAATAAAATAGGAGCCAAGTGAAAAACAACGAAGAAGTTAAAAGGCAGGGGGACTGCCTTCAAGGTGCTAACCATTCCCATGGTTGCAGGCCACTCTGAGAGCCAGGACTTCACACCCTTCTGAAAGGCCAGGAAAGTGAGGGCCCACCTCACTTGGGGGGGGGCAGAATATTCCAAAGGGCAGGGGCAATGGCAGAGAAGGCACCCTGCCAGTTGGTATTCTTTAATTGATGGGCTCCATAACATACCTTCCCTGCCTGACTGTGAGACAGGTCAACATGATGAGAGTAAGATAGTTCCTTGGATAACCTGGCCTCATGTTACGTAGGGCTTTAAAGGTAATAATCAGCACCTTGAATTGGATTAAGAAGCATGGAAGATTGGATTCAGGCCCTTAATATGCATTTGTATCTTTTCAAGAGGAGTCCAATATGAAGAAAATTGTTGCTTTTAAAGATTCTGTACCAGATATATAAACTAGAAAGGCTGCTTTATTTTTATTTGTTTATTTGTATCCTGCCTTCATTATTTTTACAAATAACTGAAGATGGTGAACGTATCCAACACATCTTACTCTTCCTATTTTCCCCACAACAACAACAATGTGATGTGTGTTGGGCTGAGAGAGGGACTGGCACAAAGTCACCCAGATGGCTTTCATGGCTAAGGTGGGAATAGAACTTATGGTTTCCTGCTTTCTACCCTGGTACCTTATTAAACCACAATGTGAACAAACAACATGCTCATGTTTTACTCTTGTGTAATTAGATAAATCAGGATGATTAACTCTGGAATGCAATAATATCCTTTATTCTAGTGTAATTGTGAGAGTCTTATATTGGCAGATACAGTCCCTGAAATAGGCTTATGTCAATGAGATTAACGATAACTCACTTTGTATTAATGATCTAGAGGAGAGTAAGGAACAAAAATATTATTGTATTTTTTTCCTAGCACAGGTAGTCCTTGGTTAATGACCACTTCTTCAATGTCCACTCAGAGTTACAGTAGCATTGAATGAATGGTGATAAGTTATAGTTAACAGTTATAGTTCCTTGAAGTCCTGGTCGTCCCAACACCTCTGCAGTCTGTGATCGCAATCTGCATGCTTAGTAACCAGCTCACACTGATGATGATTGCAGGTTCCCACAGTCACATAATTACAATTTGTGACCTTCCCTGCCAGCTTCCCAGAAGCAAAGTCAATAGGGAAGATGGTTGGGAATGTTGCAAGTTGCTCTGGTAAGTCTCCCTCACCCGTACATCCTCTCTGAGCCTTGCTGCATTTGTACCATGCCTCCTCGGCCACACACACACACACCTCCTCCCACCCAAAAGCAGCCAACCCAACCTCTGTATGACTTGGGACTTGCAACTTTCTAACAGGAAGTTGCCAGGAGGTGCTCATTTAACAACCCATAATCCTTGCTTGATGGCAACAGAGACTGCCTGGATTGCCATTGCCAAATGAAGTGGTCATTACTCAAGGACTACCTAGATGTTTTATCCAAATCCTTGCATTGGTCCGCATAATTGAGACTTGCAAGTGATACGTATTGAAATTCTTGACATATTGTATTGGAATTCTTAAGATAATGGCATTACATTATTCAGAAATAAGCATGTTACTGAATCACATTTTTTTAATTTGGATTTAGATATTGGCAAAACCATTAAATCTTCAAGATCAACAACAACAAAATTTAGCAATACATCTTCTGAAGCTTGTCCTCAATTGTCTTAACTATGACTTCATTGGTAGTTCAGCAGATGAATCTGCAGATGATTTGTGTACTGTACAGATTCCAACAAACTGGAGATCAAGTAAGAGAATAATCAGTGCTAACAATCTATGTACCTTTTTTCTAATGTATTGCCTTCTAGATGTGTTTGGATTCTGAAGTAGCCAGCCAATAGAACTCTTTAGGATAAGTGAAGAGTTATCGTTATCAAACTCTATTTTGACAGATTTGCAAGACACCTTGAGGATGAAATTGTTTTTGCATTGACTTGAATGTAGATTTCAATGCAGTTTATACTGGTATGCAGTGCACAACGTAAATTACATGTGATCGTATTCAGTTTTTTAGGTTTGAGGAGATAAACAGCAGCTTATAGCCATCTGGCCTATCACATGTTGCCTTGACACTGGTCCATCTTGATATAGCCTTACTTGATAGATGGATTTCAGCAGTATCTCCTTTCATGATGAGTGGTTTGAAGGGAAAGAATCAACCTCATGCTAGGTTCAGAGGATTTCATACCCAATCATAAATTCTTCCCCTTTTGGGGAACAAGTTGTTTGAAAGTATGGTGTCCTTGTTCAGAGGACAGCAATGCTCTGAACATTTTTAGTTTGAGTTGAGATCTGGTTTTTGGACAAACCAGTCATATCAGTAGTTAGAAGGAGGTATAAGTGCAACAGCTAAGAGAGTAGAGTTCCATATGAAGTAACAGTAAATGCCATCTGGTAAATTATTTCATGACAAAATGTCTATTTTTAAAAAATGCAAACAAATATGCATACAAAACCATAATGTTGGAAAATGGACAGTTGTGTTGCAGTGTCATATAATGAAATTCTGTCAGAGGTTGCGAAGCAGAAATGAAACTATTGTTGAGCATAAAAAAAGGCTTTATCCCTGAGACGTTTTTGAATATTCATTCTTACTGAGGTATAAGTGCAACAGCTAAAAGAATAGAGTGTAAGAATGGGCTAAGAACTGTCTTGGTATTTTTTAAAATGAATAAAGGCACTTTATTAAAATCTCCGCAGAATTTAAGGCTGATCATGAATGGGAGGGGGTTTCACAAACACTCTCTTCTTGGTAGCAACCATATGTGAGTGGCAGAACCTCAAATGAACTGTGTTTTGCAACACAGCCTTTTATTTACAGTCCACTCAGAGTAAATCTATGGCTGATCCTTCATTGTGCAACAATTGTCAGAGAATTAATATCACAGTTACAAAAATAAGAGTCAGTTAAGGGTGGGAATGAAGAGAGGATGGAAATATCAATGCATAAATACATGAAGGTAAGCTCTCCCCTTCTCCCCCAAATCACCCATTTCACATTATATATATATAAAGTCCATTTGAAACTATTTGACACATGCATTTATTATTTTAAATGTGTAATTGTGTTTTGGAGGTAGGCATCAGCTAGAAAAAAATAACACCACCCCTTTATTTTCACTTTTGTTCTTCTCAGTTTTCCTGGAACCAGAGACTTTGGATCTCTTTTTTGACCTGTATCATTCCCTTCCCTCAATGCTGTCTCAGTTAGTAAGTATAAAGCATCTTTAGTCTTTTTTTTTCCAGTAGGAAACTTTCTTTAAAGATGTCCACACATTATGCGTTTAATAAATCTGTCCAACTAAAAATTTCTGAAATTTTATTATTTTTATGCTTTGCAACATAGAACGTGATATGCATATACTATTGTAGATAAGGTCAGTGGGACATTTAATATTGGGCAGTGCTGTTTTCTGGCTCAAGGAGATGGCTGCTGCAGTGGCACCCCGTGTTCCATTAGTAGTAACTCATCAACACATTTAGAAAAGTATGTGTAGTCATTGTTACTATTACAGTGGTGTGCAGGTAATCCTCAACTTACAGCCACGATTGAGCCCAAATTTTCTAATGTTAAGTGAGACATTGGTAAGTGAGTTTAGCCCCATTTTACTACGATCTTTCTTGCCACAGTTGTTAAGTGAAACATTGCAGCTGTTTAGTTAGTAACAAGGTTGTTAAGTGAATCTGGCTTCCCCATTGACTTTTGCTTGTCAGAAGGTCACAAAAGGGGATCACATGATCCTGAGGACACCACAACCGTCAAAGATATGAGTCAGTGTCAAGTGTCTGAATTTTGATCACGTGACCATGGGGATACCGCAACAATTGTAAGAGTGAAAAATGGTCAGTAGTCACTTTTCTCAGTGCCGTTGTAACTTTGAATGGTCACTAAATGAACTGTTGTAAGCTGAGGACTACCTGATACTATTGATTTTCTAGACTCATCCAGCTATTCACAGAAAAATGGTACATTGGCACGATAATGAGAGTGACGTTTCTGTCACTTCAGCAGTGGCTGGATGATGCTATGAGGATCTTAAAAATCACTAGAGGACATGTGATCTCTCTCTTCCACTGTTGTTTATAGGCTGCTGAATTGCTGAAGACTCACAGTGGTTTACAAATAACATACATAAGAAATAATATACAATAAACAAAAAAGTATATTAACTAACAGAATCATAGAATATAGTTTAATTAATCAACTCAAACTGTAATCATCATCATCATAACAACAACAACAACAACAACAACAACAACAATAATATAATAATAATAATAATAATAATAATAATAATAATAATAATAATAATAATAATAATAATAAAGTTGGAAGGGATCTTGGAGGTCATCTAGTCCAACCCCCTGCTCAGGCAGGAAACCCTATACCATTTCAGACAAATGGCTGTCAACCAAGGTAGAATCATGGTCCAAAGGCCTTCCAGAGGGCCCTTGTTTTTCTGTTGCTTCCAGAAAGTGCTCAGAATAGGAGCCAACTAGATGTCTACTGGAGACTATTTCAAACATGCAGCCAAGGAAAAATAGTTCTGTTGAATCTTAGCACATATCATTGCCCTAAAGTGGGACTCTATTTAATAGTTTTCCCCATTATAATTTTTAGAGCTGGCCCAAGACATATTGCTTTCTGAAATGGAGAAGGAAAAAGTGTGGTCTCTTCACCCATCACATACAAACATGTTAATTTTAACATGAACAGGAAATACCCCAGACTCTTTCTTATTCCCTAGTAATAAAAATGCAACAATCACAAATTAAGTAGTAAATGTTGTAGATTGCATTCTTAGTAATTATGATGCTCTACGAGTACACACACGTGCAGAATACGTGGAGCAAGTGGAGAGTTTTCAGCCCCAATTCTCATTTTACAATAGGACTTTAAAATAAGGTTGTATTCTAGTCCATTTTCTATTTAATCTTTGTGTCAACTCCCTAATTCAATCCCTAACAAAAAGTGAATTTTATCTCCATTCTAGAAAATGAACAATGTCTGTTTTGCTTTCTCTTCTCCCTGACACAGAATGATGAGAGCTTGTGAGCCTTAGAAGCTTACTGTAGGGAAGAAAAAATAAAAAAAAATAAAAACAAAGAGGTGGTATTCATAAAACAATGTATTACTGTCCTCTATAAATGGAAAATCAACAGAAATCTGAGCAAACTTAAGAAACCCAAATACTTAGGAATTGTGTTCTAATCTTCTAACAGCTAGAAAGAGCAAGAAAAAAAATTTCTCTCATGCGCAAAAAAACTTTCAGTGTAATTATTTTTGTTAATCATCTTGAAAATAATTACATTCCCACTATAATTGTGCTTCTTAGGGCTGAGGTGCTGAGCCTAATACTTAATGGTGTACAAATTAAAGTAAAGGTAATTCAGAGTGAGTCTTTTAAGAGGAATGCTACATTTTAAATGTACTGCAGAAGAGAATACATTTCTTTCTATTAGCTTATTCAGTCCTTAGAAATCTCAAAAATGGTGGCAAAATTCTATTCAGTCATGATTGCTGTAAGGAAACTCAGAGAGTATAATTAAGTTCTAATAGATGGTTTGGAAAGCAATTAATTATATTTTTCTCTTTTAATATTTTAGTTTATTGCATGGTTATTTGTTGATGTTTTGTTAGAATTTTGGTCTATGACTAAATAAATCTGGTACTTGATTTGTTATACATTTTCTTCCTTCCTCTTCATAGTTTGAAACATTGGGGCAGAGTGATGTAGCCCAGTCCCAGATTTTATTATGTATATTGTCTTTATAATTTCTTTACACTTGTCTATTTTTGGTCAGTAAATAGGTTGGGTGTCTAATGTGAAATAAATCTGAAATTTTTCAGAATTATAGCAGGGGTGGGTTGTTTCTCAAATCCATACACTCATTTTAATTATTGAATTTTCAGAGACTCCATTCTGTATGTACTTTCAGGCAACATTAGCACAAGTAGTTATATACATTCCAGAATGGTTGATGGACTAGCTATTCTTCCTTCTTTCCATTACGTATTGTGCCTATTTCTGTTCTCTGTTTTGGCTTTATATTATCATAGTTGCAATTGTTCAAATGTTGTTGCATTGTAACAGATTGGCATTCACATAGCTATTACACTCAAAACATTATTACCTTCTGTACCACCTGATTTATAAAAAAATGTAGATATCTATCAATTGTAGGCATCTTGGACATATTACACATGCTACTGTATTTTAATTCACCTTATTAGAATTTTTTTCACAATGGTAAATATAAATTGATGGCAAATTTTATATTTTAAATATGTATAATATGAGTGTAGCTGCAGACTCAAAAGTGTTGTTAAGTAAACACAAATGAAGCAAAATAGCAAAGTTCTTGCTTGGTTCAAAAATCAATATTTATGACCCTCTTAATACATTTCTTAAATCATTATTTCCCTTTTAGGCACTTTCCTGTTTAGTTCAGTTTGCTTCTACAAGACGATCCCTATTTAGCAATCCAGAACGTGCCAAGTATCTTGGTAATCTAATCAAAGGAGTAAAAAGAATACTTGAAAATCCTCAGGTAATTTTTCCCCTCAATTTTCTCTTTAAGTTCCAGTTATATTTCTTCCATGTTTTCTTAGGATATCTTTATTGTAAATATGAAGATGGACATTTAGTAAAGTAGTTAAAGATTTTACTTGAGGCATTTGAAATAATAGTGTGGGAAATGTGCCGGTTTTCAACTGTTTTTCATCTGATCTGCCTCATATTTTTGCACTAGTGCTGTCTATGTCTGAATTTATATCCATCTGGATTTTGTTCAACCCTTGTTTAATAGTTCAGAAAATTGTCTGATTTTAGTTAGATTAGTTCAGAGTGAATCACTCAAGCAAGCATGTTATTTATGTTTTATATTTCAAATATCTAAGCTACCATTTTCAACTTTGGCTGCCTACCATATAAAAACAGTAGAGAAATAAAACCCAAAAGACAGCGTCATCCAGAGAGAACTTCAAACAGCTCTCTACATGGAGATAAAAACAAACAAAAGGTTCTTCTCTCATCGCTCTAATCCAAGGCCTAAAGAAAGAGCCCTCTTTTAATGCTTTGTAAAGACTGGAAGGTGTTGACCATGCAGATCTCTTGCTAGGGGATGGTCTTCCAGAGGGCAAGTGCTATGATAGAGAAAGTTCACCTCGAAGAACAAGTGTTATGATACAGAAGGTTTGGTTCCTGGGTCTTGCTAGATGACATTGCTTAATTGATGAGATAAGGAGTATGCCAAATGTTACAAGGTGAACAGAAACCATGGAAGACAGGAGACCCCTCAAATAACAAGGCCTTATGTCATGTAGGACTTTAAAAGCAACAACCAACACCTTAAATTACATCCAGAAACTAACTGGGCACAGACCATATGTGTTACAGGTGCATAGTGTGGCCCTCATATTATTGATTTTGTTGCTGTTTTGTGTATCAGCTATAATTTCTCAATGGTTTTAATGGGCAGCCCAAGGTAGAGCAAATTGCCATTGTTCATCAGTGAGATGATAAAAGCATGAGTGACTGGAAGAAGGGTCTCCTGACTGAGGAAAGGACATATGTAATGCACAAGGTGAACCTGGGCAAAAACCCTACTGGCTGCAGTGAGTATTATTTTTTAAGCAGGAAGCCTTAGTAGCATACAAGGTGCAAACAAAGTAATATAATTAGAGTCAGAGATGGTAGATCCCCAGCACTAAGAAGCTCAATTACCATAGCTACTCAGTCTTGCTAGGGTTTGCATCTGAGATCGTTCCTCTCCATCCAGATCTTCACAACCTCCATGCACTGGGACATTACTTCAACAGTATCACTCAACCAGTCTGCAGACATGAAGTATAACTGAGTATCGTCAGCATAACCAACGTCCTCATATAGTTGTTAAAATAGGAAGGATGAGACCATTAAGCCGAGGGCATCATGCAAACCAGGTGCATTGGACTCAGCATTTTTCCTCCTATTAACACTAACTGTATGAGCTTTCCCTTTCCATTACAGACTGGAACCAGCCATGGAGAAAAGAAAGCTACTGTAATACTTCACTTCCCACAAGTTGGTCTAGATATTATGACTGATGGTGTGAAAAGTTGTTGAGGGATGAAGAAGAACCAGGATGGGCGTATATCTCTCCCATCCTGGTTCTGCCATAGGGCCTTCCCAAGTGCGATCAATGGTATCTCTGCATCATAGGTAGAACTTAACTGAAAAAGGTCTAGATAACCTGTTTCCTCCAAGTTATAACTAAGCCATCCATTTTTAACAGCCTTCCCCTCAAAAGGAAGGGTGGAGACGGAACTGGTTGGGTCCAGGAAGGCTCATTGAGGATGTATGTGTGTACCACCTTCTCTCTCAAAGAGGCCATCACCATTGCACAGCATAAAGAATGCTGTCCTCTTTTTTTAGGAGTTACAGGCTCAAACTCCTCCCAAATAATTGAGCGAAACTGTACCTCCAGTGCCTCGATCCAAATCTTAGCAATTTTATCTGCCTATAGGTAGTTCTTGACCTGATTTCAAAGTTGTTGGACACAGATGCACATGTAAACCCTGTGGTCACACGATCACATTTTGGGCACTTAGCAACCAGTTCACCTTATGGGTGTTTGTTGCTGGTTCTGTCTGGTTAAATCCAGATTTAGTAAGGGAAGGCATTTGTTAAAATGTAATTTTTACTGTTACACTTCATCTTCCAACAAGCAAAACATGCACATTTTATTCCAAACTACTGAAGAAAAATGACATTCCATAAAGGTAGACATGGGGGGGGGGGTTGTGCAAGAAACCTGTATGATTTTTATGTTTTAATTCATCCCTATTTTTAGTGAGCAATATCTATGGGAAATTGTGTACACTGTAGGTGTATTTTTTGGCAAAAATCTCCTATTTCAGAAGAATAATTGTAAGGATTGTAATTATAAGAGGCCAGGTAAGCAGTAGTCCTTCATTAAAAATGGTATTCTAGTAGAAAGGTATATTTCGGTGCCTAAGTGGAAAAAAGGTAGGCAAGGTAGATGACTTGTCTTTCAGGGAGCCCGTAGAGGACAGCACCTGATAACTGAATGGAACGGTGGCATGTCCACGGCAGAATTAAATGGCCAGCGGGAACTGGGCATATCTTTGCCCCTGACCTTCATCATCATCACCCTTGTGTCCACAGTACTATAGACTGTTTATATAATAAGATGTGTACTCTACGAAGGGGGAGAACACTTCAACAGTGAAGCAGTGATTATCAACTCAATGCTTGCCTCTACAGTGGTCTGGAAATGAGACAGAGGAGACATCATGAGGAGAGGATTCCTAAGGAGACATGAGGAGAGGATCCTTAAAAACAGAGAGCAAGGCATCTTTGTTCATAATTAGAAAGAGAGAATGATCCCCGTTTTGAATAAATGTCTGTTTTAGTGCTTGCTAGGTTTGTGGGAAACTGAGGAATGAAGGAACTATAGGAAAGATGAAACAGCCTGCTAATTTACAAGTTCTTTGTGTGCACGGGGCTTTCTACAACAAATGTTGCATAGTTTCTGGGGGGGAAAAGGCTTTTAAAGTGCAGTGTTACTAAACTCATAGTAGTAAGCTTTAAACTGAGCAGTATGATATGGTTTGTTACAATGAAGGAATAGGAGGTGCATACACACACTTCAGTTGTGGTTTGTAGCTTTGTTACATGCAAACTGACTTCCATGTTGTGAGATCTAACTTGGAAATGAGAAATAACCCATAGATTTTGAATTGCTTTAGATCATAAAAGAGTAAAACTACTTAACTTTCTTTTGCCCAAGTAAATTTATGCTGTAATCCTAGCTCCTGATTTACTAAAAGTTCTGTGGTCTGAATCCTAAGAGTAAATAATAAGAACGAGCCAAGTTTAAATCTTGTCCTTTTTCCATCCTAGGGGATATTTCATTTCATTTCATTCTTATTTTTATTTATTAAATATGACTGAGTGATTGTACAAATTTGATATGTATTAAAATAGCAATGCACTGAGATCTTATTGACTAGTTTGTGGGGAGCGGGGGGGCTGTATAATAAAGCATTTGTAACATAAAAGGCTTTTATCACTCTTATTTGACTTACAAGACTTCTGCATACACAGATAGATATTAGCTATTCATATATTTAGAAATCTGCCTGGCTGCTGCATTAATTGCCCTATTCCTGATCACCTCATATTTATTTTACTCCTTCCCTGTGCTTCTGCAGTGACAGTAAATTGTGTTGCATTCTTAATAGTGCTGATTTTTCCTTCAGTACACTGCATATCTAGCCTATTATGATGTTCTATGAGGAATCACAGCTTCTACTCCCACTCCAAATTTCGGTCATGCAGATAATTCTTAGGTGACTGACTTCACAAAACAGTTTGTTTCGGAAATATTTCTTTGAATATTTGTGGCATACACAATGACAATTTTTGATTTGGGAATGGACTGTTATCTTTTGTGTAGATCTATTATTTTTCTCTAGAAGTCTCATAATGAATAACTATTATTTTTAATAATTTTAGGGCTTATCAGATCCCGGTAACTATCATGAATTCTGCCGATTTTTGGCTCGATTGAAAACCAATTATCAGCTTGGAGAACTGGTAGTTGTGAAAGATTATCCAGAAGTTATTAGACTGATAGCAAGTTTCACTATTACTAGTTTACAGGTGAGGTAATAATAGAATGTTTTTGTGATTGATTTGATTATTTTAAAAGGGGGGATGTATAGAGTTTGATGAGTGATTGTTTACCTTTTGTCTGCCCAGAATATTCTAGGGTTGTCAATTTAGGGCTCCATCTGTTTTTTATAATACATAATCATGCATTTTCCTAACAAGAAGTGAAGAAAAAAATCGCAAATAACATTTGTAATTGTTCGTGTTGGATTGAAGCTTACTCTAATGAAAATCTCATTTCTTTTCTTTATAGCACTGGGAATTTGCACCAAACAGCGTTCATTACTTGCTGACCCTTTGGCAAAGAATGGTTGCCTCAGTTCCTTTTGTGAAATCATCAGAACCCCATCTCTTAGATACCTATGCACCTGAAATCACAAAGGCATACATTACTTCTAGATTGGAATCTGTTTCCATGGTTATAAGGTAATCGAGAATACAGTTCGCTGTAGCTTCATAAGTAGCTCTATTGCACAAAGATACTTTTTCTTTCTTGATATCTGTTTTTAATTCAGGTAACTGCATTAATTTCGTTCCTGAAATATAAAAAAAGAGTGCTTCTGAAATCAGTTTGCTCCAATGTAAACTATCTCATGTTTCATTTATAAAAAAAAGTCAAATTCATCATTGTTGAATTAATCAGCCATCTTTCATCCTTTAAAAAGCACTTCCTTTTGACAAGGTTATGCTGATTTCACCAGTTTGTGGATACTGATTGTAATTCATTTCAAACTGTCCAGTGATTTTCACATTGTCCATTATAATTTTTTATATGGATTTTAGGGAAGGTTTGGATGATCCCTTGGATGATACAGCCACAGTATTTCAGCAGTTAGAGCAGCTATGTACAGTTAGTAGATGTGAATATGAAAAGACTTGTGCTCTTCTTGTACAGTTGTTTGACCAAAATGCACAAAACTATCAGAAGTTGTTGCAGTCATCTAGTAGAAATCCTCTGGCAATCTCAATTCAAGAAGGTTAGTATGTATTATTTTTCTGATTTCAATTGTGCATATGTCTGCCACATATGTTTGGCTCGCTTAGCTGTTTTTTAATCAGTTTTTAGTACAAGAAGAAATAATATTTCAAAAAATATATATCCAATATTCTATAGAGGTATACAAACAGTTGAACTTTTTTCTATCTTCTTTCTCATCCCTGCCTGAGGGGAATCCTCCAAACTTTTAGGACAAAATTGTGGGTCAGGAGGCTATAGGAGAAAGAAGGAATTGATTCCTCCCCATTTCACTGAAACTTTACAGCTACAAAGGGGTCTATGACAATTCAACGTAGCCAACTCACCATGGCCAACTTGTTGCTGGACAAAAATTTCACTAATAACAAAGAAATGGTGGAATAGAATCATTAAAGAAAGGATGCAAAAGGAGGGACAGAATGAAATGTGATCAACAAAAATTAAAATAATTATTTATTTTAAATAATTAAATAGAATTGTTAAATTGTTCCACAGAGAGTTGTCCCATGGCAAGTTGGCTGTGGAGAGTTGTCCTGCAGCAAGTTGACTGGAGAGTTGGCCATGGCAAGTTGGCCGCATCAAGTTGACTGTGGGAAGTTGTCCCATTCCCCTATGAAGTGGCTTTTAAAAAAATACTTAATGATTTTTCATGTAAGAACTGCCACTTTTGTTTTTTTTTAAATATACGTTATGCATATATACATCCCATCATGATATTCCCTTTTAGGATAAGCGATATTGTTGAATGGACAACATCTAATGCTATACATTTTACTTATGGCCAGATGCCCTTAGCACAGCCCAACTATGGTGCCCCTCAGCCCTTCCGTCACTTAGACATTAAGATTCAATAAGTGCCAAATGTGAAATAAGAAATTTAAACTTCAGTTTTCTATCAGGTCATTTCCCCAGGTCAGATCTCACCACTGTGTTAAATAGAAGCTGTGTGTTGTTGTTGTTTTTAAAATATTTGTTTAACACAAAATAGCAATGAGTAAAATAAGCAAATTATTTACTTATAACTAGAGCAATAAAAAAAAGGCAATTTTTAAAACATTTTAATGCATTTTTAAATGAAGTTGTTACATGGGGAAAATATAATTATGAAAATGTATTGAAAGCTAAAGTTGAATGTAGCAGTGAAAGAGTTAAGGGCATAATAGCTAGAAGAAGAAAAAAAAACTCTGTGTGGTGTTCCTCTTCCAGAGATGGCCTGAGCACCTATTTATTTTACTTAATGGGTAAACCAGAGCTGGATATACATATTTTTCCATCCTTACCAACCATCCTGGCTTCCACCATGCCAGACAGTGCTTAGTATGTTGCCTTTTGTTTTTAAAGTTCTTGTTAAGTTATACTTTTAACTGAACTCAACTTTCTTGGCCTTTCTTTTTCTCTTGACCCTTCATTCTTCCTCATACATTGATAGAATTATTGAAAGATGGGTTGGAAGAGACCCTAGAGGTCATCTGGTCCAAACCTTTGCACACTGCAAGACCCACTGCAGTATCTCTGACAGATGACCATTCACTTTTGTCTTCCAACCTCTACTGAAGGCACTTAGTACATGATATGGCAACCAGTTCCATGGACTGAGAACTGCTACAATCAGCACATTTTGTGATTTATCCTCATTATCCTCTAACACAGCCATTTTTTCTTCTTTTTGTTTTTATTTCTTGCAATAGCTCACATATATTATCATTCCATTAGCATTTATATGGCCTAACATTTGTTGATTAGTTTTCCCATCTTTAGTAAATATTTTAACTTGGATATTGTAAGCCACGGTGAGATGAGCAACATATTTAACAAACAAATAAATAACTTGCAGTCACACCATTTTCCATGTCATACACAATTACCTTATCTTTGATACATTTATTTTCTGATCCATGCTCCTCATTGTATCATACAGTTTTTCTAAAATTCACTGCAAATCATTTGGGCTTCACAACATTAAAAATCACAACGTAAAAACCCATAACCCATAACCCTCTCTACCACTACCTCACCTCAGCAGCAACACAATCAAATTAACAACTTGATTGGTTCCGTTTCCATTCAGGGTCTCCAGGTCTGTTGACAAAACCACGTTTTTAGGTTTTTAGGTTCTTTCAGAAAAGCAACACAGTGGAGGCCAACCATACTGAGAACACTCTTTTTCGTGGTCACACCATCCCTAATTGATTGGACATGTAATGAACCCTGCTTTCCCATCCTGGTAGGCCTGGTTAATGTAATAGGGGGAGAGGTGGTCCTTCAAAGAGCCTGAATGAATAAACTATCATTTATTCCTCTTACATCCATGTTGCAATAGCGCATATGCCAGATTATTATCAGATGGAACCATAGATATTTACCTCTGTCCCTATCATGGCTTTGCTCAGTTGAGGCTTTTACATTTTAGTAAGGGAGGGTTGAGATTATCAACTGTCATTGCATTCAAGCTCATACAACATTCCCTTCTAGAGCAGAGGTCTCCAACCTTTTGGGCACCAGGGACCGGTTTTGTGGAGAGAGGTTTTTCCATGGACCAGAGGGGTCATGGTTTTGTGTGTGCCTGCATCCCGCGGATGGGGCTTTGCTTGTTTGCGCGGCCCTGTTGCTGGCATGCCGCGGCCCGGTACTGGTCCACGAACCGGGGGTTGGGGACCCCTGTTCTAGAGTGAACATAGGCGTAACATAGTATAAAATTAATTTTAGTGTGAAAAATGTTTTAGATTTAACATTTTTCCATTTTACAATGACATAAGGGAAAAAGTGGTGATATTTCAGCAATGACAACAAAAGTGGCGGCAGCATATGACGGGTAAAGGCTGCTTCATCCCAGGCTTACCAGGGCAGGTCTGATGATAAGAGAGAGCCATACGCTAACAGAAATATTACAAGACAAACACCCCTATATTCTTCACTCTACAATAAAAGAAAGGAAGATATATTTTCTCTTAGTGACTGCCTTTTTTTTAAGTCACTCAGAAATAATGCTGTTATGTAAACATGCATTACTACCTTTATTAGGGACTCATTTGAAAAGTATTGTCTTGGCCTCCGCATCCGTCCTTGGTGTACATTATGAGGGTAATAAAAATAACCTAATTTACAGAGTTGTAAGGAATTTTGAGATAATGTACGCAGAGTGATTTTAATGTTCATAAAGCAATATAGAAGGGATTATGATGATAATTAAAATGAAGACACATCTTTCCAGAATAATATTCATTTAGTTCTTTAAATAAATTAAAGATTCTGAATATCTTAAGCCCAGAAATTGTGTGGCCAAAGCCTAGCTTTTTTTTGGAAAAAAGTCAGTGATTTTGAATTACAATTAGAAATAATTTTGACATTGGTTTATATTTCTGCTAGTCTTTATGTAATATTCAGTTTCTTTTCTGTGGACTAAACATTTCTGCTAGCTCAGAACAATAAATGTTACCTCCCCTAGTTATGCACACTTTAATTTAGATGTTTAATGGCTTTTAATGTTCCAAAATAAGTTAATATAATATTAAGACCTCATTTTATTATATTGTCTTGCTCTTTGTATCGATTGTGAAGCAGTCATGGTTTGCTAAAACAATAATCCCCAAGAAATGGGTCATTAACAGTAGTTAACGATTACTTGTGATCTATGGTAATGACTGATTTCTTTGGGATTATTGCTGTTATAAAACATAATTACAGATTATTACTGCAATAATTATTTTGGTAAAGAAAAAATATTCTCCTTTAGCAGCTGGAAAAGAACAATACTGAATGTTTTGAGCAAGGAAGTAAGCACAAATGCAAAGGAAAATGAATTTTATTTTCTGTGTACAGGGACCAACTCAAGATTATTAGTGAAATACTCTTTGTGCTGACAGAAGTACTTTTGAGTTTAATGTTACATTTTGAGGTGGTTATCAATCCATGTTATGACTTTCTCAATTTCAGTCTTACAGTATTCATACATTCAGATATGGTGAAATTCTGGAATTGTTACTGGTGAAATACTGAATATCTAAGCATCTAATAACATTTGACTGTTGTCAATAAAGCAAATGCCAAATTTTATATTATTGTTTGTCATATTAGATACTTAGATCTTAAAAATGCTGAATTCCAAATACTTTATTTTGCTTTATTTAAAATATTTTAAACTTTTGACAGTAGCTCAGTGGGGTTAATAATAAAACAGTAATAATTGCAGAAATTTTAAGTCAGTTGTCAGTTGTTGAAATCATCCAATGCCTTTCAAAACCATTATGGAAATATAGACTTCTTTAACTTAGGCAGGTGATTCAAGAGTTTAGGGGCCGGCAGAGTATAAAAACTTGTCTTTTAACTCAGTGATGGCTAATCTTTTTGTGCTCAGTGTGCCAAAAGTTCAGAAAATGCCTATCACTGTCTTAATCAGTTTTTTTTTATTTAATATCCTCGAATCCCAATCAAGACGCAGTGCTACATTCAGTGTAACCGTTTCACTTATCAAGCATAGTTTGAAAAACCCTGTGCCAATTGGGTTTGGGAATTCAATTCTTGTCGTCTCCACAGTATATGAACAGGGGAGACATAGTCCAAATGATATGGAAGACCCCAAATTATAGTACCAAGATTAAGATTTCTGTTTACCTCAAATTATAACTATCTTACTGCAGATAGTAAAGTTGTGCTTTAACCTATCTTTGCCAGGTTACATAGGCTGGGTAATGGAAAACAGTCTTATCTCCTCAGCAGTGTTGAACAGTTAACTGTCATCGATTCTCCCCCACTTCCTATATTGTATGTGTACAAGCTAATTATTATAAACAATTTTGTAATCTTTCCAAATCACCGTTTGAAATACCCCATTCTGGTCACAGTGCTCTCAATGTTTTAATACTGTGACCTCTTAAAATGATAAATGAATTTTTAGGACACTTAAAGTAAAATAAATGATTTCACTGGTATTAGGAATAGACAAGGAATAAATACATTTTACTTTCTTTTAATAATTAAATTTTAATGTATAAATCAAATGATAGAACCTTGCAAGTGTTTTGCGTGAATTGTTTCTAGATTTCATTTTAGTTTGCTTGACTTTATACTCCCAACAGACAGCTGTGTTTTCAGACAATTGAAGCCATTTTTCTCAACTTTAAAAAGTAAAAGATACCTGTAAAACCAATAGATATGAAAGTTCCATAGTTATAGCCACCCAGAGTCAATTTTGATGAGATGGGCAGTTATATCAATGAGAAAGAGAGAAAGTAAATGTTTCCTTGTTTTAGATCTTCTTAGCACTATTGGTAGATTAATCAATTTTAGCTTTTCCCACATCATCCATTCTGAAAGGCTAGAAATTTAAAATAAATTGATAAAAATAGTGCAGTTCTTGACTTTTATACTTCTAGATACACTCCAAAATTTACAGATACATTAGATATATGAATATTTCTGAGAAGCCAAATTCAGTTATTGATGGTTAACATGAATGAATTGCCAATATCCAAGAATAATTTTAAAAGGCTACACTTTGTAGAAATGAGAGTTGTGTTTATTTACCGGTAATACTATTAAAAACCCTGCCCACAAATCATTATATCTTAATGCAAATTATAAAATTTCATTCATTAAAAAATAATAATGGCTTTAATGGATAAATTAATCGTTTTTAAAATAGATGACTATAATTAAAAGCCATGTCAAAATAACATTCTGTATCATAAGTAATAATTCAAATAATGCAGTATTGTTGGTAGTATATAGAACTCTAGTGCCTTTGCTAAGAAAAGAAAGCAAGCGGAGAACAAATTTGTAAGTTTACTGATATGCAGAACTTCATGACTAGGCCTTTGTTTAAAAATTAATGAATCTGCTCTCAATTGCTTATGATCTACAGTTTAAGATGCCTTGAATCAGGTCAGTAGGTATAGTTGCTGAAGTCATCCTTACACAAGCTTTCAACTTTTCTGCAGAGATGATCTTTTAAATATTAGATTGCAAGCAGAGATGTCCATGTGGGGAGGGAGTGAATGATGAAAATTGCAACAAACTCTACCCCTTTTGTATGTGTGTGATACCACATGCATGTAGTTTGTGTAATGACTGGGTTGCTACTTTTGTTATTTTAATTGAAGCATTGGTTCCTGTTGCTGCCTTTGATTGGATGCTTGTAATATGTTAAAGGCTAATGGGTAAATCATTAGAGTAGAATGAATATAAATGCTCTTTCCAGCATTTGTCAAGAGATCTATAATGCAGTAGAAGCAAGTGAATTGCAGTAAGTAAAGCTAGACATATGTATTGGTATTTTGATCACAAATTAAGTATGAGGAAAAGAAAAATCCAGCATGCTTTTATATCCTGCCCAGTAAATGTTCTTTTTGAAGGCTAAATCTGGAACAAAAAATTGCCAGAAACAGCAGCAGATTTTAAAATTTGTTGAATAAGATGAGTAGTTAAAAATAGTTGTGAAACTAAAGTACATAATACTTAACAGCAGAGTTTAACAAATAAAATCACAACCATGGAATTAAAATCTCATCTAAAAAACTTATGAGAAAGATTAGAAACTTGGTATAGTTAACAAGTTTGCTTTAATAGTTCAGTGTAACATAAGTGAGAATATCAATATTTTGATCAGTAAATGTCAAAACTAGCCCATCCTTGTTTCCCATGAATATCACTGAATGGCCTCAGAAAATTACCTGCTTTTCTTCTTATTTCCATAATTTCCTAGTAAGCATTAGAATCCACAGCAAATATTTTATGGGAATTCACAGCAAATATTTTATGGGAAATTTCTTTTCTTTTTCATTCTCCCTGCATTCCAGGACGTTTAGCATGGCTTGTTTATCTTGTTGGAACTGTTGTAGGAGGAAGACTAACTTATACCAGTACTGATGAACATGATGCAATGGATGGTGAATTATCCTGTCGGTATGTATTAACAGAATAGAACTACATGTCACAAGAATAAAATATATTTGAATAAAATCATATTTTAGAGGATGGTTAAACAGCTTTTAAACATTATTTTTGTGCAATAAGAAATTTTGCTAATGAGCCCCAATACAGACCCTACTGAGAATGGATTTTCAAACATTACATTGCTTAAGACCATCTGGAAGAGGAGCTGAGTTCATTATTGAGCACACTATGAATGGTGGTGTTGAGATTCAGTTTCATTTTAAAAACAGGATTTTCCTTGATGCATCTACAGTTATATTGGTAACAATGGCTACATTGAGAAACCAGCAGAGCACATGATATAATAGGCTTTGTTTGCTTCCATCATTCAACAGATGGAGGTACTGAACGTTGTATCTGTTCTTCATGAATTAATTCTTTTAAAAACTGTCCGTCATTGCATGGTATTGGTGATTCAAAGTGGCTTTAATCAAATGTTTATACAGGTCGTCCTCATTTAGCGAGTACAGGAACTTGGTTGCTAAGTGAAACCATGACTGTGCTCATGATCTTTCTTCATCTTTCCTTTGCTTTACAGATGTGGAAGATTGAACATATAAGGATTGGTCATAAAGTTAATTTTTCATCACCTTCATAAGTGAGAAACAGTCACTGTACGAGGTAGTTGCTAAAGGAGGACTACCTGTAATCCATAAAGAAATGTTTACAACTTTCACTTGTTGAAGTGCAAGGGCTGGCATAGATTCATGAGTAGCTACTCTAGTATTTAACTCTCTACTGTTTTCTAACCTATAAGTTTCTGGAACCCAATTCAAGATTGTAGCTGGAGTTGGCTTTTCTGTGGATTATGCAAAAGCTAAATAATATTGTATAAATGCTGTGGTAAATTCAGAGAACTTGTGCTGCTTGATGATCAGAGTTTAATAGTGCAATTACCAAGCCTTTTTTCTTAAGAGGAACTAGGCTATATAAATTGGATGGATGGATGGATAAATTACTTTAAAAGTGCACGAAGAAGTCATATTTAATGTACAGTGAAATGCCAGCAGTTTTATTTGTTTTTTTTTGTTTGAGTATCAACAGTAAACAGAAATGTCCCGTTTTTCATTTCAGAGTCTTTCAACTGATTTCCTTGATGGATGCCCAGTTACCACGTTCTAGCAATGAGAAAGTGGAACTTGCAATACTCTGGTTTTTGGATCAGTTCCGTAAAACATATGTAGGAGATCAACTTCAACGTACATCAAAAGTAAGTGCTTTTCCTAGCTACTCCATCCCTATTTTAATTAGTCTGTTTAAAAAATATGTGCATTGTAAGGCAGATTAAAAATGTTAATCCTAGCCCAGAGTTGCGCATGTGCTTTTACTCTCATGAAGAGTCCTATTCCTTTCAGAAGGAGATAATCTGTACTTACAGAATGAGATCTGCTTAGTTCATTGAAAAGAATGTACAAGCTCTTTGGATGAAGGAACATTTTGTAAACACAGAAGCTGCAATTCCTGGAACAGAATGCTGAACTATTATGACTAGTCTGTGGATGTTTGAATGATGTTTTTTATCTTTACAGCCAAGTTCATTTTGGTGTGCCGTATGTAAGGCTTTCATCAGTTGTATTCATTAAACAGTTTGAGATTTCATTACATTTTGTCTTTTATTTCAAGCATTTAAAAGGTTTGGTATATAGTATTATGTGTCACAGTTGGATATGGAAGATTTATTATTTTAATAGCTCTGTCTGTTTGACACTTACTCATTTACGTGCTTTTTACTGTATCTCACACATTATTTGGCTTTTTCTGCATTTTAAATAGAGAAGGGGATAAGCACGATACGCTCTTTAAG